ATTAAAATGTCATCAATATACACCACTACACCCTGTCCATGCAAATCCGGAAAATCTCGTCCACAAATGATTGGAAGACTGAAGGAGCATTCATTAAACCGTATGGCATGACGAGGTACTCATAGTGACCCGAGGTGGTACTGAATGCTGTCTTCCACTCATCTCCCTCCCTAATGCGCACCAGGTTGTACGCGCTCCTGAGATCCAATTTTGTGAAGAATCGCGCCCCGTGTAATGACTCCGTCATACTAGCAATCAGAGGGAGAGGATAGCTGTATTTGATTGTAATCTGATTGAGACCACGGTAATCAATACACGGGCGTAAACCCCCATCCTTCTTCTTCACAAAAAATAAACTTGAGGACGCAGGGGAAGTGGACGGCCGTATGTATCCCTGTCTCAGAGATTCGGTGACGTATGTCTCCATAGCTGCCTTCTCCTCCTGAGACAGAGGATACACATGACTACGAGGAAGTGCAGCGCCTACCTGGAGGTCTATCGCACAATCCCCCTGTCGATGAGGTGGTAATTGAGTCAAATCGGTGCAAAATCGGCATACTCAGGAGGAATGTGCATGGTGGGAATTTGGTTCGGACTTTCCACCGTCGTTGACCCTACGGAAACACCTACACACCGCCCGACACACTGATCAGACCATCCCTTGAGAGCCCTCTGTTGCCATGAAATGTTGGGGTCATGAGATGTTAACCAGGGAAGCCCCAACACCACGGGAACACAGGAGAGTCAATCAAATACAACTGTATAATCTCCTCATTGCCCTCCTGCGTCTTCATCTTAAGTGGCGCTGTGACCTCCCTAATCAATCCCGACCCCAAAGGGCGGCTATCTAGGGCATGGATGGGGAAGGGCACATCAACTGGTACAATAGGAATCCCTAACTTATACGTGAACCGGCGATCGATAAAATTCCCAGCTGCGCCTGAATCTACTAGCGCCTTTTGCTGGGAGTGAGAAGAAACCTCGGGAAACACAACTTTAATACACATATGTACAACAGAGAGCTCTGGGTGAGTTGGGTGCTTACTCACCTGGAATGACTCATCAGTGCGTTGCCTACTGCCTCGATTCCTAGGAGACCCTCCCCAGCACCGAACCGCAGTGTGTCCTCTGCGGCCACAGTTGGTGCAGGGGACGGCCTCTCTCCTGGTCTCTCTCATCGTCTCCCTAGCACCAGCACCCCCAAGCTCCATAGGGCTTGGCTCGGAAGTGCTGGGGGATGGAATGGACGGCCCCAACTCCGGACGTCCGCGGGTAGCCAACAGGGTATCTAGGCGAATCGACATGTCCACCAGCTGATCGAAGCTTAGGTTGGTGTCCCTGCAGGCCAACTCCCGACGAACGTCCTCCCTTAGGCTGCACCTGTAGTGGTCGATGAGGGCCCTCTCATTCCATCCCGCGTTGGCAGCCAGAGTCCGGAAGTCCAGTGCGAACTCCTGCGCGCTCCTCTTCCCCTGTCTGAGGTGGAACAGACTTTCACCCGCCGCCTTCCCCTCTGGGGGATGATCGAACACCGCCCTGAAGCGGCGGGTGAACTCCGCATAGTTGACTGTAGCGGCGTCTATTCCCCCCCCACTCGGCGTTGGCCCACTCCAGTGCCTTGCCGGACAGACAGGAGATGAGGGCGGACACGCTCTCGTATCTCGAGGGCACCGGGTGGATGGTTGCCAGGTAGAGTTCCACTTGGAGCAGGAAACCCTGACACCCGGCCGCAGTGCCATCATAAGCCCTCGGGAGCGAGAGCCGAATCCCACTGGACTCCGGAGGTGAAGCGATGGGTATAGCTGATGGTGGTGGTATCGTTGGAGGAGGTGTGGGCAATCCTCCTCTTTCCCATCGCCTCAAGGTGTTCATCACCCCTTCCATGACGGTGCTGAGATCCTGGATCATGGCCGCTTGTTGCATAACGCGCTCCTCCAGTGATCCAGCTGGCACCGCCGCTCCTGCTGACTCCATGGTGGTGTGTTATTCTGTCACGCGACGTGTATGCGGTAGCGAAGTCAAAAGCAGGACACAGAGCGGTTGGCAACGTTTTTTACTGAACACAGTAAAATCAACGTACAAACAACAAACCTCCAAACAGGGAGGAAAGCACAAAGACCAGTACATACAGAACTGCCGGAATGACAACAAACAATAACACACAAAGTACCAATGAGAGACAGGGGTAAATATAGGGAATACAATCCAACAAAATGGGAAACAGGTGTAAACAATAAAGACCAAACAAGACAAACACCGAAACATCGATCGGCAGCAGCTAGTACTCCGGGGACGACGAACGCCGAAGCCTGCCCGAGCAAGGAGGAGGAGCAGCCTCGGTTGAATCCGTGACATACGCAAAACGACACCGGATTCAAAACTTTGAATTTTTCAATTTAAATTATTATACAAAATTCTTGCAACCAATAGAATGTTATTTATATGTGGATACAATCTTCCCAGCTCTGCAGATTTTGCTGCGAAGAGACAAAATCATTAGATCATTTGTTTGGTACTGTCCATTTGTAGCTTGTTTTTGGTCACAGGTCCAGGAATGGCTGAATAATTGTAAAATTTACCTGGAGCTAACCCTGCAGATAGCATTACTGGGTGATCTGAAAAGTCATAGTCAATCGATCAATAATATAATAATACTTTTAGCAAAACAAAAAAAAATCCATTTACAATCTGTAGAAACAATGAGAATAGAAAGGTTCAGAACGTTTGTGAAACATCACTGTACAGTTTATATGGATGGTGTTAAGAGATAGATGGGAGGGGTTGAATGGAGCTGAAGGTTGGAACTAATAACAACTAATAACAACAAGATAACTAATGTAAAACATACTGTGTCCATAAGAAGTATATAGGTTATAGGTTAAGAACTTTTGTGAAAGAGGACAGTTTGAAAGATATGGCATATAGAAGCAAACCGGATGGAAATCATGAAAATGATCGGAGAGGTTGAGGGTAGAGGAAATTCAGGAGTAAAAACAAACAAAAAATAACTATTGGAAAATTGACTGTGTCCATAAAATGTATATAGTATGTATAAGCTGGAAGTAGAGGCCTAGTTTACTCCAATTAGGGGAGGGGTGGTAGGGTTAGAAAGTAATTATGGAAAATATATATATTTTTAAATGTGTATATACTGTATATGTATGTATATGTATTGTGTATGTACTGTACCAGTCAAAAGTTTGGATACACCTACTCATACCAGGGTTTTTCTTTAATTGTACTATTTTCTACATGGTAGAATAATAGTGAAGACATCAAAACTATGTAATAACACATATGGGATCATGTAGTAACCAAAAAAGTGTTAAATAAATCAAAATATATTTTGTATTTGAGATTCTTCAAATAGACACCGTTTGCCTTGATGACAGCTTTGCACACTCTTGGCATTCTCTCAACCAGCTTTATGAGGTAGTCACCTGGAATGATAATCCATCCACCTGACAAGTGTGGCATATCAAGAAGCTGATTAAACAGCTTGATCATTACCCAGGTGCACCTTTGCTGGAGACAATAGAAGGCCACTCTAATATATGCCGTTTTGTCACACAACACAATGCCACAGATGTCTAAAGTTTTGAGGGAGCATACAATTGGCATGCTGACTGCAGGATTGTCCACCAGAGCTGTTGCCTGAGAATTGAAGGTTAATTTCTCTACCATAAGCCGCCTCCATCGTTGTTCTAGAGAATTTGGCAGTACGTCGAACCGGCCTCACAACCGTAGACCAAGTGTAACCACGCCAGCCCAGGACCTCCACCACCGGCTTCTTTACCTGCAGGATCATCTGAGACCAGCCACCCGGACAGCTGATGGAACTGAGGAGTATTTCTGTCTGTACTAAAGCCCTTTTGTGGGGAAAAACTCATTCTGATTGGCTGGGCCTGGCCCACCCATGGTTGCACCCCTGCCCAATCATGTGAAATACATAGATTAGGGCCTAACAAATGTATTTCAATTGACTGATTTCCTTATATGAGCTGTAACTCAGTAAACTCGTTGAAATTGTTGCATGTTGCATTTATATTTTTGTTCAGAATATATTCTATAAGCTGACAGATGGTTATCTACAGTAGGCTTATGTTGTCATAAAGTGCAAATTTAAACAAATATGAACTCTTACTGAATTCTTAATCCCATAAAAGGATAAAAACATTTTACATGTATGCTTTCTTCTGAGAAAAACAGCACCCAACCCTCAAATATGCGAGTACAACTTAAGTTCAACTTAATGTATTTCTACCGTCCTTCCCCAATGGGCTCCAAACATTACTTTCTTTACGTTAGACAGATATTCCAACTCTAGCAATTAATATGCTAAGTGGTAAAATCCTTCACAATGTCACTTTTAATTTTAATCTTTCCGCGTTTAAACCTACGTTCCTCTGTGCACATATTTTTTTTTCTCAGTGACAGCTGGTACGCAGTCTTTTTTCAGTGAAGTTTTCACTGGCACCTAACCCAATGTTTTTACCAGTTGGTGACCCATAGGGGTTGAGCAGGATTCAGGGAGGACATACAGAGTGGCCACCTCAGAGAATGTCTTTCCCAGTGAGCTGAAATGCATAGCCCCATAGCAAATGCCCTTTGACGCATGCAACCCAGCTGGGAAAACACCTTTCCTGCCACTCCTTAATTAGAACAAGCATGGCATATTATTTTAGCTAACAGAGTAAAGTTTCTGTGAAGACCTGACGGTACACGTACTGTACATGTTCCTAATGTGCCCCAAATTGAAAATGTAAAAGCCTTAGATATTAGCCTATGACTTAGAATAATTGATTGATGTGGGTTAAAGCATCTCCAGTTCCATTTCTGGCTGGTTATTTGAAAGTTTACTCAAATAAGGTAGCATACGAAAATGTTGTCTTGTTTCCTTTAGGATGAATTACTATTTGTGATGTTTGCTGGTGGAAATATCCTCTCTTGATGATGTCAGTGATTATTTGATGAATGGGTTTTCCTCCCATACAGAGACAATGTTGAGCTTTGTGGATGACATCCTGTCTGGGGCCAAGTCTCCGTGTGTGATGCTTGGGGATATCCCTGACCTCCTGACCTCCTCCGTCAGCATGATCATTCGCTGCCTGGAGCCAGACACCACTTACATGTAAGTTACTGTACCATTAGCAATGGATGTTTATCTCTTGTGTTAGAAATGGAAAATACTATATCATCATTATCACCACTCAGATAATACATCAAATATACAGTACATAACTAACTTGTAAATGCATTGCTTGCCTCCTTCAAGCTTGATTTAGCAAGCAGTGACTTGAATGTAAGATATCTGAGAAAAATACAACAACAAAAAAGTGAAAAAGGAAAATGTGAAAATGATTCATTTGAGGAATTGCACAATATTGTTATTTTTACCTTTATTTAACTAGGCAAGTCAGTTAAGAACAAATTCTTATTTACAATGACGGCCTACACCGGCCAAACCCGGACGACGCTGGGCCAATTGTGCGCCGCCCTATGGGACTCCCAATCACGGCCGGTTGTGATACAGCCTGGAATCGAACCAGGGGGTCTGTAGTGACGCCTCAAGCACTGAGATGCAGTGCCTTAGACCGCTTTTTGGGTTACTGGATAATATCAAACTAGCTAGCAATCCTCTGAGAGTAAAGACAGAACCTGGGAAAGCATATTTCCTAGAACTCTATTACTATATTACAACTATGCTGTCTATTGCGCTGAGGGAAGCCCTGTCCTTGGCCTAAGCCAACTTCCCTGGATGTTCCGTGGATGTGTACGTACATGTAGGTGTTATCCAATGGAAACACAGTCTACATGAAGGGAACAACAACCAGTTTGCAGGGGAGAGCCTGGAATCACTCCCCAGTCATGTGCATGTACTTCTTTAAGACAAGTGTTTAAAATATGTTTCAGACAGCTGGGGAAGTAGCTCATACTTTGGAACAGCTTCAAAGTGCATCAATGGAGCACTTAATGCTAATAGCAGAAACAAGAATCACAAGATCAAGAGATTAGGTGCACTAACAAACATGACAGAGAAATACCTTGTCCTTGACAAAATGTGCACTATTTGAGATGTTATTTCAATATACATATTTGTATTTTTTTATCACAAATATGCAAAATTCAACATTTACACTGGAAGTATATAATAATGACTTCTAATGTTTATAAATTGCAAAATGATAAACCCTATAACAAACTATTTGGGAGGTCTTTGTGTACCCCCCCCCCCAGAAAAATAATTATATATATATATATATATATATATATATATATATATAATATTAGGAAGGTTCAATTCACATTCCGGGAAACGTGTTGAGTTAAGTGAGGTCATTGCCAGGTGTAATGAAAGTAGTTTATGGTTATTCTGTTTCTGTGCTACTGGACATTACAGTGTGTATTGCTCCTGTGTTTGTTGTAATGCAAGATGATATTGTGGTGATGTAAACCCATGTGAGGTCAATCTTGTACTGCCTGGTGGCCAGTGTGTTTTTAATGACCGCATGGAACGTTTGACTGTGTGTTTAAGGTCAATCAGTATAATGAATTGAGCCATGCTCTGAGAGTTATAAGTTCCCCTGGCACCCCTCCACCTTCTCTCTCCTTCCTCTAGCACTCACACTCTGCACCCTTCCTCATCCGACAGCCTGCTATCCTCCACACATGTAGCCACTTACCTCATACATGCTCCGTAAATGGGGTATTCATAATTAAAAGATTACACAAAGGAGGGAAGGGGGACAAAATATCATCTTGAGCACGTTGTCTCTTCGAATGGTTCTGATTTATAGGAATATGAGGATTTGGCCGGCAGGGATGTAGCTCAGTTGATAGAGCATGGCGTTTGCAACGCCAGGGTTGTGGGATCGATTCCCACGGGGGGCCAGTATGAAAAAATCAATAAATGTATTCACTAACTGTAAGTCGCTCTGGATAAGAGCGTCTGCTAAATGACGTAAATGTAAATAAGTCTGGCTGCACAACCGATTTGCAAACGTACTGCAAATTGAGAAATCATGTGACTAAACTGAATAAAAAGAAAGTATACTATGAAACAAATATAGATTATATAAAGAATGATAGTAAAAAGTTTTGGAGCAGTTTAAATGAAATGTTGGGCAAAAAGGCAAACACATCTCCATCATCCATTGAATCAGATGGCTCATTCATCACAAAACCCACTGATATTGCCTATTACTTTAATTATTTTTTCATTGGCAAGATTAGCAAACAAACGCTGACACTACACATCCAAGTATAACTGATACAATTTTGAAAGACAAGCATTGTCATTTTGGAATTCCGTAAAGTGAGTGTGGAAGTGGTGAAAAGATAATTGTTGTCTATCAATGATGACAAGCCACCGAAGTCTGACAACTTGGATGGAAGATTACTGAGGAGAATAGCGGCCAATAGTGCCACTCTTATTTGCCATATCTTCAATCTAAGCCTACTAGAAAGTGTGTGCCCTCAGGCCTGGAGGGAAGCAAAAGTAATTCCGCTACCCAAGAATAGTAAAGCCCCCTTTACTGGCTCAAATAGCCGACCAATCAGCCTGTTACCAACCCTTAGTAAACTTTTGGAAAAAAAGGGTGTTTGACCAGATACAATGCTATTTTATTGTAAACAAATTGACAACAGACTTTCAGCACCCTTATAAGGAAGGACATTCAACACGCACGGTACTTACACAAATGACTGATGATTGGCTGAGAGAAATTGATGATAAAAAGATTGTGGGAGCTGTTTTATTAGACTTCAGTGCGGCTTTTGACATTATCAATCATAGTCTGCTGATGGAAAAACGTATGTGTTATGTCTTTACACCCCCTGCTATATTGTGGAGAAAGAGTTACCTGTCTAACAGAACACAGAGGCTGTTCTTTAATGGAAGCCTCTCCAACATAATCCAGGTAGAATCAGGAATTCCCCAGGGCAGCTGTCTAGGCCCCTTACTTATTTTCAATCTTTACTAATGACATGCCACTGGCTTTGAGTAAAGTCTATGTATGCGGATGACTCAACACTATACACGTCAGTTACTACAACGCGTGAAATCACTGCAACACTTAACTAAGAGCTGCAGTTAGTTTCATAATGGGGGGCAAGGAATAAGTTGGTTCTAAATATTTTTACAATTAAAAGCATTGTATTTGGGACAACTCATTCACTAAACCTTAAACCTCAACTAAATCTTGTAATAAATAATGTGGAAATTGAGCATGTTGAGGTGAATAAACTGCTTGAAGTAACCCTGGATTGTAAACTGCCATGGTCAAAACATGTTGATACATAAGTAGCTAAGATGGGGAGAAGTCTGTCCATAATAAAGTGCTGCTCTGCCTTTTTAACAACACTATCAACATGGAAGGTCCTACAGGCCCTAGTTTTGTCGCACCTGGACTACTGTTCAGTCGTGTGGTCAGGTGCCATAAAGAGGTACCTCGGAAAATTACAATTGGCTCAGAACAGGGCAACACGGCTGGTCCTTAAATGTACACGGCGAGCTAACATTAATAATATGCATGTAAATCTCTCATGGCTCAAAGTGGAGGAGAGATTGACTTCATCACTACTTGTTTTTGTAAGAAGTGTTGACATACTCAATGCACCGAGGTGGCTGTTTAAACTAGTAGCACACAGCTCGGACACCCATGCATACCCCACAAGACATGCCACCAAAGGTCTCTTCCCAATCCCCAAGTCAAGAACAGACTATGGGAGGTGCACAGTACTACATAGAGCCATGGCTACATGGAACTCTATTCCACATCAGGTAACTGATGCAAGCAGTAGAATCAGATTTTAAAAAACAGATAAAAATACACATGGAATAGCGGGGGCTGTGATGAGACACACACAGCACGGACACACATACACATGATGAGACACGCACTCTACACACACATACACATGGATTTTGTATTGTAAATATGTGATAGTAGAGTAGTGGCCTGAGGGAACACACTTAATGTGTTGTGAAAAGTGTTATGAAATGTAATTTCATGTAATATTTAAAATTGAATATAACTGCCTTAATGTTGCTGGACCCCAGGAATAGTAGCTGCCTAGGCAGCAGCTAATGGGGATACTTAATAAATACAAATACAAATACAAATCTTTACATAATTTTTCTTCTGGTCAATTTCCTTGTTGGCAGGCTATTCAGCTCAGTTGTTACAGACGACTTCAGTTATTTTCAAAACGTTTCCTATATTCATAAAATGTCTCTATGCCTGTGCTGTACAGTTACAAAGCACTTAATTATTTCTTCAGGATATCTGTTGAAGTGCATTGCAAAATATTTCAGGCCTCACAGGTTTAGCTTTGGTAATTTAAAAATACAATTTCAGCTCTGTACGTTCCAAAAATGATACCTAATTTTACGCATTACTTTAGTTATCTTATTGTCTTGAGACCAGACAGTGACCTCAGTGTCTTATTGGTCAAGCTGTATTGTATTGTACAGTGCATTCGGAAAGTATTAAGACCCCTTGACTTCTTCCACATTTCGTTATGGTAGAGCCTTATTCCAAAATGTATTACATTTTTTGTTTTTTCCTCATCAATCTACACACAATACCCCATAATGACAAAGCAAAAACAGGTTTTTTTTTTAAATAAAAAAACTGAAATATGACAATTACATATTCAGACCCTTTACTCAGTACTTTGTTGAAGCACCTTCGGCAGCGATTACAGCCTCGAGTCTTCTTGGGTAATGACGCTACAAGCTTGGCACACCTGTATTTGGGGAGTTTCTCCCATTCTTCTCTGCATATCCTCGGGGGACGTTGTCCTGTTGGAAGGTGAACCTTCACCCCAGTCTGAGGTCCTGAGCACTCTGGAGCAGGTTTTCATCAAGGATCTCTCTGTACTTTGCTCCGTTCATCTTTCCCTCGATCCTGACTAGTCTCCCAGTCCCTGCCGCTGAAACCATCCCCACAGCATGATGCTGCCACCACTATGCTTCACCATAGGGATGGTTCCAGGTTTTCTCCAGATGTGACGTTTGGCATTCAGGCCAAAGAGTTCAATCTTGGTTTCATCAGACCAGAGAATCTTGTTTCTCATGGTCCGTGAGTCCTTTAGGTGCCTTTTGGCAAACTCCAAGCGGGCTGTCATGTGCATTTTACTGAGGGGTGGTTTCCGTCTGTCAAGGATTCTGCCGAGGCTGCTCCTCCTCCTTGCTCGGGCAGGCTTCGGCGTTCGTCGTCCCCGGAGTACTAGCTACTGCCGTTCGATGTTATCGGTGTTTGTTTAGTTTTGTCTGTATTGTTTACACCTGTTCGTCATTATGTTAATTGTTTCCCTTATAATTACCCCTGTCTCTCATCTGTACTTTGTGTGTGATTGTTTTCCCCTTCACGGTTGTCTATTTTGTGAGCAGGTTATTTCCTCCCTGCGTGGAGTTATTTTCTGTGTCCTTTTGGTTCCTTTTCGTATTTAAAGTACGTATCCGAGAGTTCTGTGTCCTGCGCCTGACTTTGTTTACCGCATCTCACAGACAGTCGTGACAGAATCACACACCTTACCATGGAGTCAGCAGGAGCGACGGCACCGACTGGATCACTCGAGGAGCGCGTCCTACAACAGGCAGCGATGCTCCAAAATCTTGGTGCCGCTATGGATAACGTTATGAACACTTTGGGACGATGGGAGAGAGGAGGTTTGCCCACACCTCCTCCAACGATACCACCACCATCGGCTACTCCTATCGTCTCACATCCGGAGTCCAGTGGAATTCGGCTCTCGCTCCCGAGGGCTTATGATGACACCGCAGCCGGGTGTCAGGGTTTCCTGCACCAGGTGGAACTTTACCTGGCAACCATTCACCCGGCACCCTCGGGATACGAGAGCGTGTCCGCCCTCATCTCCTGTCTGTCCAGCAAGGCACTGGAGTGGGCCAACGCCGAGTGGGGAGGGATAGACGCCGCTACTGTGAACTATGCGGAGTTCACCCGCCGCTTCAGCGCAGTGTTCGATCATCCCCCGGAGGGGAAGGCGGCGGGTGAGCGTCTATTCCACCTCAGACAGGGGAGGAGGAGCGCGCAGGAATTCACACTGGACTTCCGGACTCTGGCTGCCAATTCGGGATGGAATGAGAGGGCCCTCATCGACCACTACAGATATAGCCTGAGGGAGGACGTTCGTCGAGAGTTGGCCTGCAGGGACACCAACCTAAGCTTCAATCAGCTGGTGGACATGTCGTTTCGTTTGGATACCCTGTTGGCTACCCGCGGACGTCCAGCGCTGGGGCCGTCCATTCCATTCCCCAGCACCTCCGAGCCGAGCCCTATGGAGCTCGGGGGTGCTGGTAGTAGGGAGGCCAGGAAGGAGGCTGTCCCCTGAACCAACTGTGGCCGCCGAGGACACACAGTGGTTCGGTGCTGGGGAGGGTCTCCTCGGATTTGAGGCAGCAGGCAGCGCACTGATGAGTCATTCCCGGTGAGTAAGGTCCCAACTCACCCAGAGCTCTCTGCTGTTCATATGTGTATCCAAGTGATGTTTCCAGAAGTTTCTTCTTACTCCCAGCAAAAGGCGCTAGTCGATTCAGGCGCAGCTGGGAATTCTATCGATCGCCATTTCTCATATAAGTTAGGGATCCCTATATTACCAGTCGATGTGCCCTTCCCTATCCATGCCCTAGATAGCCGGCCTTTGGGGTCGGGATTGATTAGGGAGGTCACAGCGCCACTGAAGATGAAAACGCAGAAGGGTCATGAGGAGACTATACAGTTGTATTTAATTGACTCTCCTGCGTTTCCAGTGGTGTTGGGACTTCCCTGGTTAATATCTCATGACCCCAACATTTCATGGCAACAGAGGGCTCTCAAGGGATGGTCTGATCAGTGTGTGGGGCGTTGTGTAGGTGTTTCCGTAGGGGCAACGACGGTGGAGAGTCCGAACCAAATGCCCACAATGCACATTCCTCCTGAGTATGCCGATTTGGCAAGCGCCTTCTGTAAGATGAAGGCGACTCAATTACCACCTCATCGACAGGGGGATTGTGCGATAGACCTCCAGGTTGGCGCGGCGCTCCCTCGCAGCCATGTGTATCCTCTGTCTCAGGAGGAGACGGCTGCTATGGAGACATACGTCGCCGAATCCTTGAGACAGGGATACATACGGCCTTCCACTTCTCCTGCGTCCTCAAGTTTCTTTTTTGTGAAGAAGAAGGATGGGGGTTTACGCCCGTGTATTGATTACCGTGGTCTCAATCAGATCACTATTAAATACAGCTATCCTCTCCCTCTGATTGCTAGTATGACAGAGTCATTACACGGGGAGCGCTTCTTCACAAAATTGGATCTCAGGAGCGATTACAACCTGGTGCGCATTCGGGAGGGAGATGAGTGGAAAACAGCCTTCAGTACCACCTCGGGTCACTATGAGTACCTCGTCATGCCATACGGTCTAATGAATGCTCCTTCAGTCTTCCAATCATTTGTAGACGAGATTTTCCGGGATTTGCATGGACAGGGGGTAGTGGTGTATATTGATGACATTCTGATATACTCCACTACACGTACCGAGCATGTGTCCCTGGTACGTCGGGTGCTGGGTAGACTGTTGGAGTATGATCTGTATGTGAAGACAGAGAAATGTCTGTTTTTCCAGGAGTCCATCTCCTTCCTGGGACACCGGTTGTCTGCGTCAGGGGTGGAGATGGAGATTGACCGCATTTCAGCCGTGCGTAATTGGCAGACTCCAACTACAGTAAAGGAGGTGCAGCGGTTTTGGGGTTTTGCCAATTACTACCGGAGGTTTATCCGGGGTTTTGGACAGGTAGCGGCTCCCATTACCTCCCTGCTAAAGGGGGGCCCGGTGCGTTTGCAGTGGTCGGCTGAGGCGGACATGGCGTTTAGTAATTTGAAGGACCTGTTCACCTCAGCTCCGGTGCTGGCACATCCGGATCCCTCTTTGGCGTTCCAAGTCGAGGTGGATGCGTCCGAGGCGGGGATCGGTACTATACTGTCTCAGCGCTCGGGCACGCCTCCAAAACTCCGCCCCTGTGCTTTCTATTCTAAGAAGCTCAGTCCGGCGGAGCGCAATTATGACGTGGGGGACAGGGAGCTGCTAGCTGTGGTCCAGGCCCTGAAGGTGTGGAGACATTGGCTTGAGGGGGCTAACCAACCTTTTCTCATTCTGACTGACCATCGTAACCTGGAGTACATCCGGGCAGCGAAGAGACTGAAACCTCGTCAGGCTAGGTGGGCCATGTTTCTGGCCCGGTTTGTCTTTAAGATCATGTATATCCCCGGGTCACAGAACGTTAAGGCAGACGCCCTGTCCCGACGATATGACACAGAGGAGAGGTCCATTGAGCCCACTCCCATACTACCGGAGTCTTGTCTCGTGGCACCGGTGGTGTGGGAGGTCGACACGGAAATCGAGCGGGCGTTACGTACAGACCCTTCTCCCCCAGAGTGTCCAGAGGGACGGAGGTACGTGCCGCTCGAGGTCCGTGACCGACTGATTTATTGGGCTCACACGTCACCCTCCTCTGGTCATCCTGGTATTGGTCGGACGGTGCACTGTCTTAGCGGGAAGTACTGGTGGCCCACCTTAGCTAAGGACGAGAGAGTTTACGTTTCTTCCTGCTCAGTGTGCGCCCAGTGTAAGGCGCCTAGACACCTGCCCAGGGGGAAGTTACAACCTCTCCCCGTTCCACAATGGCCGTGGTCTCACCTGTCGGTGGATTTTGTCACGGACCTTCCCCCCTCCCAGGGGATACCACGATCTTGGTCGTTGTTGATCGGTTTTCTAAGGCCTGCCGTCTCATCCCTATGCCAGGTCTTCCTACAGCCCTACAAATGGCCGAAGCCCTGTTTACTCACGTTTTCCGGCACTACGGGGTGCCTGAGGATATAGTGTCTGATCGGGGTCCCCAGTTCACCTCTAGAGTGTGGAGGGCGTTCATGGAACGTTTGGGGGTCTCGATCAGCCTTACCTCGGGTTTTCACCCTGAGAGTAATGGGCAGGTGGAGAGAGTAAACCAAGATGTGGGTAGGTTTCTGAGGTCCTACTGCCAGGACCGGCAGGAGGAGTGGTCGGGGTATATTCCCTGGGCAGAGATAGCCCAAAACTCACTCCGCCACTCCTCCACTAATCTCACTCCTTTCCAGTGTGTGTTGGGCTATCAGCCTGTTCTGGCACCCTGGCATCTGAGCCAGATCGAGGCTCCTGCGGTGTACGAGTGGTTTCGGCGCTCTGAAGAAACCTGGAACGCTGCGCATGTCCATCTGCAGCGGGCTATCAGGCGGCAAAAGGCGAGCGCCGATCGCCACCGCAGTGAGGCTCCGGTGTATGCACCGGGAGATCGGGTCTGGCTCTCGACCCGAAACCTGCCCCTTCGCCTACCCTGCCGGAAGCTGGGTCGGCGGTTTGTGGGGCCATTTAAAGTCCTGAGGAGATTGAACGAGGTATGCTATAGGTTACAACTGCCCATTAATTACCGCATTAACCCCTCGTTCCATGTGTCTCTCCTCAGACCGGTGGTGGCTGGTCCACTCCAGGAGAATTAGATACGAGAGGCTCCTCCGCCCCCGTTGGACATCGAGGGGGCTCCGGCGTACTCAGTCCGTTCCATCTTGGATTCGAGGCGTCGGATGGGGGGCCTGCAGTACCTCGTGGAGTGGGAGGGGTACGGTCCGGAGGAACGGTGCTGGGTCCCTAGGAGGGACATCCTAGATCCCTCCATGTTGACTTCCACCGGAGTCATCCGACTCGCCCTGCTCCGCGTCCTCCTGGCCGTCCCCGAGGCCGGGGTCGGCGCACGGCTGGAGCCGCGCGTCAAGGGGGGGGGGTACTGTCACGGAATCAGCCGAGGCTGCCCCTCCTCCTTGCTCGGGCAGGCTTCGGCGGTCGTCGTCCCCGGAGTACTAGCTGCCACCGATCTATGTTTTGGTGTTTGTCTAGTTTGTCCTGATTGTTTGCACCGGTTTCCCATTATGTTATATTGTATATAACATATACAATATAACATAATGGGAAACAGGTGCAAACATGTATCTCATTGGTTATTGTGTGTGATTGTTTTCCGTTAGGTCGGCAGTGCTGGTTGTATGCGTTATTTGTTCCTCCCTGTTTGGAGGTTTGTTTTGTACTTTCTTTACTGTGTTAAGTGAAGTACGTTCTGCCAGTTGTTCGGTGTCCTGCGCTTGACTTCGTTTCCCGCATACACGTCACCTTGACAATTTCGAGTCTCATATCAAAGGGTCTGAATACTTATGTAAATAATGTATTTCTGTTTATTATTTTAAATCATTTGCAAAAATGTCTAAAAATCTGTTTTCACATTGTCATTATGGGGTATTGTGTGTAGAATCATGCGGAAAGAAATGTATTATATCCATTTAAGAATAAGGCTGTAATGTAAAAAATGTGGAAAAGGGGAAGGGGTCTGAATACTTTCCAAATGCGCTGTATGCATAGCCATGAATACACTTCATACATACAGTGCATTTATTTTAGGTAGACACAATACATGTATTTCACAGATACAGTCGCTAGTGAAAGTCTACACACCCCTTGCACAATATTCATATTTTGTTGCCTTAAAATGAAATCTAAAAAGGGATTACATTTGATTTTTGTCCGACCGATCTCCACAACCCACTCCACATTTCCAAAGTTTAAGAAAAATTATAGAAAATGTAATGAAAAATTAATGAAAGATTTAAAAATAAGAAGTTAATACTTGGTGGAAGCACCTTAGGGCAACGTACATCCATTGTTTCTGTCAAAATTGCTCAAGTTCAGAATCAAATTCAATCACATTTATTTTATAAAGCCCTTTTTTACATTGGAAGTTTTCACAAAGCACTATACAGATACCAGCCTAAAACCCCAAAGAGCAAGCAAAGCAGATGCAGAAGCACAGTAAATTTGGTTGAGAATCATTGATGGGCAGCAAAATTAAATCCTTGTCTCTTTTGATCCTGACAAACGCCCCATTCTCTGCCGGTAATAAGTATACCCATAACATGACACTGCCACCACAATACTTGAAAATACATAGGATCAACAACATTGCATTCACTCTACATTTCTGGTAAACATCATATAATTGAAAAGCATCAATCTGGTATGTTTTTGCAAATAGAAACGGGTAAAAAAACATGATGCTTATGTGAATACATTGCATTCAATGGGGGGGAAGATTAGTGTCACAATATTGATGCTTAGAGACAAGCATCAGAGGCATGATTCTTAAGTAAACACATTGCATTCTATGGGGGGAAGATTAGTGTCACAATATTAATGCCTAGAGATAAGCTTCAGAGACATGCTGCCTAAGTGAATACGTTGCATTCAATGAGATTGATGCATAGAAATGCATCAACTAGTTGACACATAAGTCAATTACATTCATGTCTGTTGGATTTCTCTCTCTATTCTCTAATCCTCCCTCCCTCCTTCTCTCTCCCTCTCTTTGCTTCCCTCTGCCGCTCTCTCTCTATGTCCTCTTTATCCCCCCTGTCTCTTCTGTCTCCCTCCCTCTTCTTTCACCCCTCCACCCTCTCTTTCCCTAACGCTTCCGATGAATGCAAGTCTACACCTGACCATGTGAAATGTAGTCTTAACAGTGAAAACTTGCTCCTGTGGAGAACAAGGCTTTTCTTCCATAGAAAAGCATTACCTAGAGCCCTTACATAACCATGACACCCACCGTGGACTGCGATTGAGCTAGCTAACCGTTCTTGTACTCAATCCATCGTGACCTTATAGTTATTCCCTGTGTTGAGGTTTAGCTTCCTGTGGTAACAGGAAGTGGCTTAATTCATCCTTGTCATGGTAATTCATTCTCTCCCTGCAGTTACTCAAAAACACTGTGTTCCATCCTCTGTAGAACGATCAATTCTTAAAGTAAAGACTTGAAACTCAGGGCATTGTTAAAGAGTGTCCCCAGGAGGTGGTACATTGAATTTCAGCTTCCTGCGATTACATTCAGTTACTTAATTGGTGGTCATAGGGGTGGTTTTGATTAGTTACAAAAATGAATTGTCCTAAATGTTACATATTTGTGACATTACAGGGACTGTTATGACCTGGCATATGACATTTGAAGTAAATCGGCCCAAAAATATTTTTGACCTCCATTGAACTCAATGGTCTTGCAGTACTAGAGAGGCTCTGTCTGTCTGACTGTCTGTCTGTCTGTACGTCTGTCTGTGAGTGTATAAGTCTGTCTGTCTGTTTGTCTGTGAGTGTGTCTGTCTGTCTGTCTGTCTTTCTGTCTGTCTGTCTGAGTCTTACACCAATTTACCCATTTTAGATTTATCACCACCTTTTTTGCCTTGAATGCAATGTATTGACTTATGCATCAAATCAATTGATGCCTTGCTTTTTGCATGAATGCAATACATAGACTTTTATGCATCATTATCCAGTCTGTGGAGGTGGGAGAGAGGGGGCAGAGGGTGAAAGAAGTGAGAGAGAGAAGAGAAGGAGGGGGGTTAAAGATAATATATATATAGAGAGACAGAGGGAGGGAGGCAAATGAGGGCGGGAGGGAGAGAGAGAGAGAGAGAGAGAGAGAGAGAGAAGAGGGAGATGGAGAGGGAGGTTAGAGAATAGATAGAGAGATAGAGAGAGAGAGATAAAGGGAGGGAGAAAGGGGAAAGCGAGAGGGTGAGGGTGAAGGAAGGAGGGAGAGGGAGAGAGGAGGTAGAAAGGATGGGGATAGGGAAAGAGAGGAACATAATTAATAGAAGAGAGAAAGAGAGAGAAGGAAGGAGAGAGAGGGGGAGGGAGAGAGAGAGAGAAGAGAAGGAGGGGATAAAGAGGAGGTAGAGAGAGAGACAGAGGGAGGCAAAGAGAGGGAGAGAGAGAAGAGAGAGAGATGGAGAGGGGGGATTAAAGAATAGAGGTAGAGAGAGGGTGGGGTGGAGAGTGAGATAATGAGGGAGAGAGGAGGGAGAAAGAGAGAGAGATAGAAGAAAGAGAGAGGAAGGGAGAGAGGGTGACGGGGTGAAAGAAGGGGAGGGAGAGAGGGAAATAAAAGGAGGGGGGTAAAGAGGATATATATAGAGAGAGAGTGAGATAGGCAAAGAGAGGTAGAGAGGAGGGAGAGGGGGATTAGAGAATAGAGAGAGAGAGAGAGAGAGAGAGAGAGAGAGAGAGAGAGAGAGAGAGAGAGAGAGGGAGAGAGAGAGAGAGAAAACCGACAGACATGAATTCAATTTACTTATTTGTCAACTACTTGATGCATATCTATGCGTCAATCTCATTGAGGCAGCAAAATGTGAAGACTGTGCAAGGGGTGTGTAGACTTTCACTTGGCACTGCACCACTGCAGGTGGTAGTTGTTAATGTTTCCTTCCACTAGATGGCACTATAATTCAAGTAAATGTTTTAACAACCGGTTGCACTTGCTTTGTAAATGTAGCCTATTGTCAGATTTTTATTAGCATTCTATCACATTACAACAGTCAATAAGAAAATGTAATGATTTTTTCACTTAATTCAGGGTCATTTTAATTTGTCTTTTCACAGCCTGAAAAACTAGCAGTTGCACAAACTGTATTATTGCAGTAGCATGCACTCCCATTGCAATGAACAAACACTAGTTATATGTGTTGGTCTACAGGTTTAGGCTCTGGGCAGTGGACAACACAGGCCGTCGCTCCAGCCCTAGTGAGGTCACCATCAAGACCCCCTGCCCTGCTGTTGATGACGTCAAAGCACAAGGTGGGCTTTCTCATGCATGGATGGACAGTATCTGTATCTTGGTTTTCAGACTAATATTCTAACAGTAGTTACTAATCTGAAAACTTGTAGAGACACATGTGTCTTGCCTCCACATACAGTACTGAGATCAGATCTGTGTTGTTGCAGAGATTGCAGACAAGATCTACAACCTTTTCAATGGTTATACAAGTGGCAAGGAGCAGCAGACGGCTTACAATACGCTGATGGATCTGGGCTCTCCCACCCTGCACCGTGTGCTCTACCACTACAACCAGCGTTATGAGAGCTTCGGAGAGTTCACCTGGAGATGCGAGGACGAACTGGGGCCCAGGTATTTACACTATCTGTCTCTGTCTCTGTCTCTGTCTCTGTCTCTGTCTCTGTCTCTCTCTCTCTCTCTCTCTCTCTCTCTCTCTCTCTCTCTCTCTCTCTCTCTCTCTCTCTCTCTCTCTCGCTCTCTCTTTCTCTCTCTCTCAGTCCAAGAATATCGAGGCATATTGGTTAGGAAAGCACAACTACCACCCAATCAACTGTCTAGTAGCATCAAAATCCATTCCCACCTGGGTGGTGAGACTTGTTTTGGTTGTGTTGTAAACACAGACTGGTTTATAATAGATTCCAAGTACAGGCTTTGATTGTAGACGTAGTTTGTGTAAATTAAGGTCAAGTGGAAATTCATTAAAACTGATTGGAGCAAATTCTACCTTTGACATCCGTCTGTCCATTTACCACAAGCAGGAAGACCCCCTAACCCCTCACTGGTTGTTCAGTGCAGATAAGTACTATAATGTGAAATTGTAGCTAAATGTTTTAAAAACAGAGCCGTGTCTGTTATAAAATGTCTACATACAGTTGTCCGTAGATGCACAGTGAAGCAGGTGAAACTGATTAAGACGTCCTTGACTCCGAATAAGGGCCTTAGCTTCAAATTAAAGGTTGTTTTTAAGCCCATATAGGAAGGGTTGATGTAATTGGTTTGCTTCTGAAGTGTTCTATTAAAATACACTGACATTAGCAGCCCCAAATTTTCAGATGGATGATTCATGTCAAGAAAGCACCGACCTTAGATGAAACCAAAGCAAGTGCATTTGAGGTGAGGGTTGGGGGACTATAAACATGGGTTTAGATTAACCAATTGGACATTATCTTGCTAAACACCATTATAGTGTTATGGAGGGTGGCTACCTTTTAAGTTGCTACATACTGTAAGACTATTAGCTTGTAAGCATGTTGGGCAGGATTTTCCATGTTGTTATGGTGTGTTGTGATTGTGTAAGCCTGCTGTCTCAGGAAATGTGTTATAGGTGTTATTGAAGAGATGTATTTGTAATGTATTCTTAAAAATGTAAATGAGAATAATATGAATAGACATGATTTGCATTGGACCTTATGTGTTGGGTGCGCTGCCATTGTAGCTTTGTTGGAGAACCCCCATCACTTGTTTACTTGTTCCATACCCTCTGTCTCTCTAGCATTTCTGAAAGGAACAATTTACCACTTGAATCAAAACAATGAGATTTTCCTTTCCACACACAGCAATACAAAGCAGACAACATCGCCTGTAACTGGGCATGTCTCCAGAAATGACTTTCCTTGTTATGAAATCCTCGAATTCACTGGGGTTTCCCTGTTACAAACAATGTGAACCATTTAAATGCAATTTTCATTAGCTAGTCAAAATACAGATAATAGTCACCCACTCGGCCCCTGACTAAATGAAAACGTGTTTCAGCAGAGTAAACAATATGTTAAAATAAACTGGTGAAGCAATGGATCTATCTTTGAAAAGCAGGGGAAATATTCCTCTCCCGGCTTTTGTACGTGTCATATCTCACTGACGAGTTAGGTTGGCCCCTGTCAGAGAACATTTTTGTTGCTTTTTCCTGCAACATCGCATGATGTTCATGCCAAACATAAACTTACAAAGTCTGTCTCCCGAGCCCGACACTTCTCTCCATGTCCCGATCTTGTCATCGCTACGGGACTACCCATCTCTAAAGGCATGGGGCTGGTTGTTGACTTAGAAATGTTAGATGTTGGCTTGGTAGGAGAAAATCCTATCTTGAACATTTCACTCCCCCTCTGTCTCCTTGCCTGTACAGCCCAATAACTGACAGTTATTTTTATGACACATCCTAATTAGGCAATTTCCTGCGATGCTAAGTATTGTTATGGTTGGATTTCTGTTGATGACATGACAAGTGGTGCTCATGTTTTTGTGATTTTTAATTTTTCAGTTAAAAAGGGCCTAATTTAATCAAGGCTGTTTGGAAGATATAGGGATTTTCCTCAGACATTATTTTACCACAATTACTCTTCCATTATCTCATGTTGTGGATGAGGACTGGACTGTCCTACCAACAGATATACTCTATATCTGGTTGTTGGGTATGGACGACAATACATGTACTAGTACTGTGCCATTAAAGTCCAACAGTTTACTTTCATGCGACACATGAAATTGCGTGCATTCATAAAATGAATTTCCTGATAAATGGACAATAAAGTTATCGGATCGCATTGTATTGTATATCTGTGTAACACAGAGACAGAGTCATCATAGTGGTGGTTTCCTAGCGTCATGGATGCTATTTTGATCCAGTCCCTGGTCTCTGTGACTGTGGCTGTCTGAGGAATGCAGCTGATTGTTTCCTCTCCGACCAGTGAAAAGCAGTGGAGTCAAGGAGATTTGAAATAGGGGCCCTGGCAGAGTGGGAGAGCTCCAAAATGTACCCTGGAAATGTGAGGCCATTTTCCACTTCTATACATGCTGGGATTTATGGTGACAACCGTTGCTATTTGCAGCCCAAAACGTTTTCTTGAATAATGTAAGCATAACAAACCGCAAGGTTTTTGTTTTAAGCAAATAAACATCAAAATTCCTTAAACCACTGAAATGTGGCAAGATATTAGAAACATAAATACATTTAGAAAAATTATATAAATGACAGCACCCCTTCTACACAGATACAGATTATTTTATAATGACTCAATATGTCTTTGAATTTTGACATCGTTAAAGTACCATTATATTATTTTCTCAAGAGTTCTCTGCAGATAATAAATTGTGGGTATTTAAGCTGTTATTCTGCCCTATTTGACTAGCATCTGCAAATGGGATGTTGCTTAAGTGTCTCTATGTAAACATAACATAGGCTACAGACACAGTAGGATCCAGGTATCCAGTATCCAGGGCGGCAGGTACAGTAGCTTAGCGGTTAGAGCGTTGGGCCAGTAACCGAAAAGTCACTGGTTCGAATACCCGAGCCGACAAGGTGAAAAATCTGTCGATGTGCCCTTGAGCAAGACACTTAACCCTAATTTGCTCATGGGGCCCGGTACTTCTATGTAACCCTGTAAAACAGCACATTTCAATGCACCTATCTGGTGTATGTAACATTAAAACCTGTTCCTAGTTTGAAATAGAAAATCTAAATATGAGGATGTGTAATATTACAGGCTCAGCTTTCCCCTATTGAATGCAAAAACCTGGAAATATGACACTCCATTACAGTATGTCCTTGTTTGGAAAGTCTCACCTTGTGACACTTAAAGCACACTAACAAGCTGTCATTGCACCCTGTGCCTTGTCTAACAATGATTAGCAAGTTAAGAGGTATGTCTGAAAACATTGGATTCTGTGGATCATATTCTTAGGAATGCTTTGAATGTAGGAGTTGGGAGGGATGACAGTATTAAGAGAGAATGTGTTTTTGATTAATAACAAAAATGTCTTGTGGGTCGACAAAAATGTCTCACTATTTACATTGCAGTTTGGTGGTCCTGGTTTGGCCAGTGAGTGAGGTGAAGCCATGTCTGAGGAATCAGGCACTCTTTCCATCCTGTAAAGTTGCTGTTTCTGTCAGCCACTTATCCTGGAGACAGCTTCATCACTTTCAATGTCATCACTATCTGAACATGGGTGGACCATGTACATGTTATGAAATTGATGAATAACAGTCAAGTATTGACCTAAGAAGAAGTTAATTCAATTATTTATTCCACCTCATGCCCAATCCCCTACTGAAGGGAAGAGGTGGGTTTAGAGTCTGTCGTATTATGATGTAGTGTAAAAACAATGGTGAAGCCGCAATGTGTGATTTATGAGTGACCCGCTCTATCCAACATTTGATTTGCCTCATTTAAGGTGAGAACACCAAATACAAAAATTGTACCTCACTCCAAACAGAGGTCCATATTTTGTGTATTAAGTATTTCTATCAATCTTACTTTTTCTTCTTGTTCTTTTGAGCTAAATTCTACAAGAAATCGAGATCAACAAATATGGAAGGGCATTAAGACATGTTCTTTTGTGTGAAGGCCTTGTCTATGTACGGTATAATTTGACTTGAGATAAATTGTATATATTATGTGTTAAAGTAACGGCCCAGTGAAAATCTCACTTTTAAAAATTAATATTCTGTTAACTCATATCCAAATAATGTTGTTGACTCGTCCTATACCCGTATTTGTGGCCAAAGCATAAATGGGATGGGAAAAAAAACACTTAATAAACACCACCTCAAACTTGTATGTCTAATAGACCATTTCATCTCCCTAAGGAGGATGAGCTGGCCAATCAGTGGTCTACTTGCATGAATATTTTTAATGACCGGTACACCACACCATTCCAACACAGAAACACTTATTTTTAACATACTTAGTTACTATTTCACTCATACTGTAAGTAATTATAGGTCATATTTCATAGAAATCTGGCAACACTGGGCAGTTACTTTAACAATCAGTATGTCATAATTACCAATAGTTATCCATGTTAAAGACAACTGTATATGTCATGCCTATACTGTGTATCACTGTGGCAGGTGCAATGGACCATAGACTTCCATTCAATACTTCATAAATAGTTTGCTTAGGAGTTGTTGTGTTGTGTTCCTTTGCAGGAAAGCATAACTGTTTTAACCCTTATTTACCGTTATAGTGTGTGTTTGCTGAGGAGTGCTTTGTTGTGTTCCTTTGCAGGAAAGCAGGTCTGATTCTCTCACAGCTGGACGACCTGAGTGGATGGTGCAGGGCTCTTCTCCAGGAGCCCAAGATCGGCCTTCGCAGGATGTCCCTCAAGTATCTGTCCTGCCGCTACACAGACACCAAGGCCTTTGGTCTCAACTGGGTAGACCTGGGCCAGGATGTGCGAAAGGCCTGCGACGAACAGAACCTGCCAGTCATGTACAATGATTATGGGGAGCCCAAAGAACGTTGAATGTCACACAACAAATAATGGTTCTTGGGGAGTTGGAAGTGTGCTTTTTGGGATTATCTTCATGTCTGCTTTTTAATTATTGTGTGTTCTAACCCTTATTTACAGTTATAGGAACCTGATTTCAAGGTAGGGTGTATTTGAGAAGCGAATAGGGTTTATTTCAACAGTTAATAGAGCAAGGTATAACAGTAATGCTTTATTGCATTTAGACAGCACTTTTCATGACTTTTAGGAAATTTGGAAGTTGCACCAACAATCCCGTCCCCAAAATGTATATATTATGATGATGAAGATTCAGTTATTTAACATGTTGAATGTAGTATTTAAGTATAAATTCATATTTAAGCTGTTGTACAGGTATTTTGTATGGAGATAGGCAGTATATGCATTAGTGGCCATTTCAGAAGTTTGGGAGGTCATGTACAGTTTGACTTGTTTTTAGTCTCTAAGGGCTCTATTGAATCCGCAACACGGAAGTACAGCTTTACAGAGTGATTGTAATTTAAAGGCGTTGTTGCCGCTTCAGCGTAGACTGCATTCATGGTAAACACTGCATATTGGAAATGACCTTTACAGTTCTATTGCATAATGCTTCAGCTTTACAGATTGATAGAGCCTTTTTATTTTATATCCCCTTTTTCTCACCAATTTCGATCTTGTCTCATCGCTGCAACTCCCCAACAGGCTCGGGAGGCAAAGGTCAAGTCATGCGTCCTCCGAAACATGACCCGCCAAACCGCGCTTCTTAACACTCGCCCGCTGAACCCGGAAGCACCAATGTGTTGGAGGAAACACCATTCAACTGACGACCGGGGTCAGCCTGCAGGCGCCCAGCCCGCCACATGGAGTCGCTAGAGCGCGATGAGCCAAGTAAAGCCCCCCCCGGCCAAACCCTCCCCTAACCCGGACGACGCTGGGTCAATTGTGCGCCGCCCTATGGGACTCCTGATCACGGCCGGTTGTGATACAGCCCGGGATCGAACCCGGGTCTGTAGTGACGCCTCTAGCACTGCGATGCAGTGCCTTATACCGCTGCGTCACTCGGGATGCCCGATAGAGCCTTAAATGTTAAAAGTTAAAGTTGCCAAACCCAAAAGACAGTATTTGCTACATCAATAAATTCCTAATCAGTATTTCTATTACAAAATGAAAGATAACAGCACATCAATGTTTTATATTGTTTATCTGTAGTATGTTTATAGATGTAATCCTATCAAACTGTATGTCTCTTAAACATATACATGATGTGCAACAGGTGTTGTTGATCCTGTAAAAACACAGATAAACTCAACATGCCAGTGTTTGATACATTTATTTTATTATAATAATTGTTCATACATTTAAAACAATAGCATTTCAAAGCAGCACACACTTGCGATTAATATCAACCAAATACTTTTTTTTGGGGGGCTCCTCACACATTCCTTAATGCTGTAGTTGTCCCCATAACATGGACTTGAAAACCAATGCTTGTAGATATTTTCATAGGTTCACCAATGCATTAAATAACAGCACAGAACAGTGGTTTGCTTCTGTAAATATTGTATTATTCATGATTTGTATTATAACATTATAACAGTGGACATCAGCTGTAAGGATATCTTTTATTATGAGAAAGCCATTGGTTGATATTGGTAGGTATGCTTTTTTTGTGTGCAATTTGCAGAGGTGTGAGCATTCATTATGTATAGTTGTTTTGTGTATATTCACATACTTTTTGGAGAGGTTTGTTTTATCAATACAGTGAAGTGGATTAGAAAAATGGACAGATTAAAATGCTTAACAAACTTAATTATCCATCAGAAGTGAATCAGAATTGTTACCATACACAACTAAAGCTGATGAAAACAACTAAAATCTGCATGGTATACTATTATGTCTATGTGGCTAATCTAATGTTCCCTTTTTCACTTTGATCTTTGCTATTTCAAAGAATAATAAAGATTATATTATGAAATGTGGAGTGTTGGATGTTCTGGAAAAAAAGTTACCTTATCAGTCACCACTTTTTAGTCAGTTAATTCAAGTCAATGTCACACTGATGGGAATGTTTCTTATGGATTGTAGAGCCTCAAACATGATGGTTTAAACCAAATACAAATGTCAAAAGACATGAGCTGAAATAAAAGATCCCAGAAATGTTCCATACGCACAAAAAGCTTATCTCAAATTTGATGCACACATTTGTGTACATCCCTGTTAGTGAAGCACTTCTCCTTTGCCAAGATAATCCATCTACCTGACAGGTGTGGCATATCAATAAACTGATTAAACAGCATGATCTTTACACAGGTGCACCTTGTGCTGGGGACAATAAAATGCCACTCTAAAATGTGCAGTTTTGTCACACAACACAATGCCACAGATGTCTCAAGTTTTGAGGGATTGTGCAAATGGCATGCTGACTGCAGGAATGTCCACCAGAGCTGTTGCCAGATAATTGAATGTTAATTTCTCTACCACAAGCCGCCTCAAACGTCGTTTTAGAGAATTTAGCAGTATGTCCAACCGGCCTCACAACCGCAGACCACGTGTAACCACGCCAGCCCAGGACATCCACATCTGAAACGAGCCATCAGTACAGCTAATAAAACTGTGGGTTTGCACAACCGAAGAACTTCTGCACAAACTGTCAGAAACTGTCTCAGGGAATCTCATCTACGTGCTCGTCATCCTCACCAGGGTCTTGACCTGACTGCAATTCGGCATCATAACCGACTTCAGTGGGCAAATGCTCACCTTCGATGGCCACTGGCACGCTGTAGAAGTGTGCTCTTCATGGATGAATCCCGGTTTCAACTGTACCGGGCAGATGGCAGACAGCGTGTATGGTGTCATGTGGGCGAGCGGTTTGCTGATGTCAACGTTGTGAACAGAGTGCCCCATGGTGGCGGTGGGGTTATGGTATGGGCAGGCATAAGCTACGGATAACGAGCACAATTACATTTTATCGATGGCAATTTGAATGTAGAGATACCGTGACGAGTTCCTGAGGCCCATTGTCATACCATTCAGCCATTGAGCATGTTTGCGATGCTCTGGATTGACATGTATGACAGCGTTCCAGTTCCCACCAATATCCAGCAACTTCGCACAGCCATTGAAGAAGTGTGGGACAACATTCCATAGGCCGCAATCAACAGCCTGATCAACTCTATGCGAATGAGGTGTCGCACTGCATGAGGCAAATGGTGGTCACACCAGATACTGACTGGTTTTCTGATCCATGCCTCTACCTTAAAAAAAAAGTTATATGTGACCAACAATGCATATCTGTATTTCCAGTAGTGAAATCCATAGATTAGGGCCTAATGAATTCATCTCAATTTACTGATTTCCTTATATGAACTGTAACTCAGTAAAATCTTTGAAATTGTTGCATGTTGCATTTATATTTTTGTTCAGTGTATATCCTTAGGGGCACAAGAAACATATAGTACTGTATGTGTTCCCCTTATGTTCAGAGGAGTGTGGAGACCCAAAAACAAACAAGTTATATAAAATCAGCATCTGACAAAGTTACAGTTTATTCAATATCAAGTGTAAAATACAGTATAATATCACACAGAACAAGATTACACTTAGGTACAATATTTGTTTTTAATATTTCTTGAGAAAACTGCTACATCTAACAACTCTCTAAGCGTAAAGTGTTAAGTTAGGTACCTATGACATGCATAAATGTGTATTATGTGATATGATGTTGAAATACTGTAGACCTCCGTAACTACATCTACATATGACATTAGAGATTGCCCAAATATATTATTCTATACAAATTAGTCATCTTTACAGATTAGTTATTGTGTTGAAATCCTAAAAGCTACAATCTTGAAATACTGTTTTTCTTTTTGGTTAAGAAGAGATAACCTTCATTGCTCCCTAATAGGAAAACAAAATGGAAATACATCATGTCCAGGGGTGAAGTTCATCTTGTTGTTTCATTGTGAGTCAGCCTTGGCCTATCCCGTTCCATCGTTCATAACAGTCCTGCTTCCAAGTATTTGGCTTTGCTCTTGTTCTCCTCGGCATTTGGATCACGGCAAGTGCATTCATCCTGATCACAGTCGGCCCCAAACTGAATGACCTGTCAATCAGTCAAGTAACCAGGAGATTAGAAACAAATCTCAAGAGACAATAAAATCACAACCAGGGGTCATTTCCCCAATATAACCAATACATCCACAAGGTAATAGCAGACATTTAATAATGCAATAAACTTCAAACTATGCCCATAAGAACTATGCCCTTAATAGTATTGCATAGTATTATATATTTGAGCTCTACACACTTTTTATTTCTTCACAATTTCAAAGACAAACAAATGTCTCCCAAGAGATAAATAAAGGGAGTGATGTCAAATAGTTCACCATGGACTCAACGGTGAGAAACCTTGAGTGGGGGAGGGAATACACCAAAGAGGTGAACGGATGAACACATGTTAAGAATCAACAACAGGGGTTGCCAGGTCTTGTCTAGGACGCAGGCCATCACCACAGGTTGCAAAATAAACTCAGATGCCCTGCAAAGCAGTCTGTTGCAAGAAATGTAAACTAAGCTAGGTAAATGCAGAGGCTAGCCTACCTTTGATTTCACTGATGTTTAATGGAAGTAATAGTTTTATTGAAGACTTAGCCACTGTTCCAGAAGGTTAAGAAGAGAAACACAGATCTGAGACTGCTCTCTCCCATTAAAAGTGTGTTTGTTTGGCAACAAAGTGTTTCCTAAGACCTATGTTGGTTCATTGATGGAGGCTGTGGTGAGCCCAATGATATAGTGCACTATGTAGGGAATAGGGTGTAATTTGGGACAAAACCATACTCTGCTGCCATTGCTTTGATCTAATGACTTCTGGACAACAGAGACTGGATGTTTTTCCTGCTTGCGTCAAACAAAGGCCAATTATTGGACTGTTTTGTATGTAGTTTTGAGTAGTTGCTATCCAATGTTTATCACAACTTCAATAAACTGTTTTGAAAATTGAATAATATATAGTACCA